AATTCTTTAAGTCTCGCTGCTTCTTTAGCTAGCGCAACTTTTTGTTCGACAGTTACATTTACACTCATAATGTTAAATTTTCTTATTGAAATAAAAAAATATTTTTTTTATAAACTTATTTTCTATTGATTTTAACTCATTATCAAAATTAATTATATCATATCTTACATATCATTAAACTTTTTAGTAATAGGATTACGCCTTATTATTTAAATATTATTAAACTTTTTTTTCAATAATAATAATATACCTATATCATTAAACTTTGTTCAGTAACTATAAAATTACGCCTTATATCTTGCATATTATTAAACTTTTTTTAGTAACTGTAATAAGATTATTATTTAAAATTACACTTATATATTGCATATCATTAAAGTACGCCTATACTTTAATAAGATTATCTTTGCATATCATTAAACTTTTTCAGTATAATAAGATTACGTTTTATATCTTACATATTATTAAACTTTTTCAGTAACTATAAAATTACGCCTTATATATTGCATATCATTTTTGTTCAATAATAATAATAAAATTACGCCTTATGTCTTATATATCATTAAACTTTTTTTACGTAGTAACTATAAAATTATGCTTTAATAATAAGATTACACCTCATACCTTACATATTATTAAACTTTTTTAGTAACTATAATAAGATTATGTCTATAATTAAACTTTTTTTAGTAACTATATTCCTTGCATATTATTAAACTTTTTTTAGTAACTATATACCTTGCATATTATTAAACTTTTTTTAGTAACTATAATAAGATTACACCTATATCTTGCATATCATTAAAGTATACTTATAAGTTTTTCAATAACTTTGCATATCATTAAACTTTTTTTAGTAACTATAATAAGATTACGCCTTTTAATCTTACATATCAGATTACATCTTGTAATAATTTAATTTAATAAGTTTCAATAAACATACATTATATATTATTTAAACTTATTTAATTAAATTTATTTTTATATTATAATAAATATTATTTAAAGACTTTTCTTTTTCTAATTAATTTATTTTAAAATTAATCTTATTAATAATTCCATTATTAAACGTAATTAAATTATTGTTCTCTTTCATATATTTATTTTTTTTTTAATATTTTATTTGATTTTTAGATGTCTGATAATAATGAAGAACCTATGCCAGTTGTAATTGAAGGTGACAAAAATGTAAGAGATAAAATTGATCAATGGTTAAGAAGTAGCCAAATTGATTTCAATTACAAAATCACTACAAATTTTTTTACTGGTGAAAAAGAAAATCATTCTGATGTAATTGATCTTTGGAAAGAAGATTATGAGACATCTGAAAATAAGAACAAATTTAAAATTATGAAAATAACCAGACAAAATAAATTAAAACATCAAAATGTTTCTGGTATAAAAGGCACTAGTAAATCTGGAAAAAGAATTGAGGTTTTTTTATTATGTTTTAATACTAGTGATGATGAAATTACTTATGGTTGTATTTCTGGTAATGTTTCAATTACATCAGAAAATAAGGAAATAGTTGAAAAAATTAGAGGTCATCCTGAAGAACTAGCTAGTGTTATTTTTTCTAAATCAAATCCAAAATATAATGTAAAATTTATTGGAAATTAATTTTTTTTCTTTATATGTATTTTTTTTTTATTTTATTAGAAAATAAATATTCCAATCAATTTTAATCCTGAACAAGTTTTGAAACTACGTGAAGCAAATCCAAACTATGAATATCAAAAAACAGTAAATAATTTTGTTTCTGATCCTGAAGTTCATGAAGCAATAATTGAAAATTGGATTGAAGAGTATGATAAAAATATTAAAAATTCTTTAGAAAAGTATAATTATTTCTTTGAAATACGTACTTCTGATAATGTTAAAATTTTTATTTTATTATTTGTTCAAAAAAATGAAAAAGAATATCGTTATATTAGTATTGATTTTAAAATCAAC